TTATTATTATTATTATTATTATTATTATTATTATTATTATTATTATTATTATTATTATCATTATTATTGTTGTTGTTGTTGTTGATATGGTTATTGTTATTATTATTATTATCATCTTTATTATTTATGTTATTTTTGTTATTGTTATTTTTATTGTTATTGTTATTATTGTTGTTGTTGTTGTTGTTGTGATTGTTGTTGTTATTATTATTATTATTATTTATTTATTATTATTATTATTATTATTTGTATGTAGGTTCATTATTGTGTGTTGGTTGTGTCCTATATACATCAATATTGATTTCTAATTCCAAATTTAAAATTTTAAATACATCCACGCACGTATGTATTAGTTTGGGATTTGAATATTTTGGCTATAGTTAATTATATCATTCGGATTTCGCATCTTTAAGATACGTTTGTGCTAAAATAAAAAAAAAACTGATAAAAGTAAAACATTTCGTTATTTTTAATCTAACTTTCTTAAATTTTCCGTAAAAATTGTCATGCCTGACACTTCTTTCTTGTATGATCGTAGTGTGTGATTGTTGTTTGTCATATATCGCGATCTGACCCAGACATACACGTTTGTATAAGCAGCTTGTTAAATCTCTCTCTCTCTTTCTCTGTCTCTGACTCTTTCTGTCTCTGTCTCTCTCTGTCTCTGTCTCTGTCTCTGTCTCTGTCTCTGTCTCTGTCTCTGTCTTTGTCTCTGTCTCTGTCTCTGTCTCTGTCTCTCTCTCTCTTTCTCTCTTTCGCTCTCTCTCTCTCTCTCTCTCTCTCTCTCTCTCTCTCTCTCTCTCTCTCTCTCTCTCTCTCTCTCTCTCTCTCTCTCTCTCTCTCTCTCTCTCTCTCTCTTTCCCCTCCTTTCCTCCCTCGAAATCAGTTACCTAAATTAATTTCTCGTCTTCAGGTTTCCAAGACATCCCGTGTGAATTCCACGTGTCTCTGCTGAAGGATGCGCCAAATCCTCTTGCAATATTCTCTTCGAAGGTGAGTTCCTTACAATGTTCACTTAGAAGGTGAGTTCTCTATGACAACTAGTGTTACGAAAAACGTGTTCCAACTATTTTATATTTGCCAAAGAGACGTAGTTACAACGAAGCAGAAAAAAAAGAAAGAAAAGATAAGAAAAGAATAAGAATAAGTAAAAGAAAAAAAAACATCCCCTTTCTTAGGCGAACCTCCCTTGCTGCTGGCGACAACGAGACAACGAAGCAGAAAAAAGAAAGAAAAGAAAAGAACAGAATTAGAATAAGAAAATGAAACAAAAAATCATCCCCTTCATCTCTCCTCAGGGCGTCGGCGAACCTCCGTTGCTGCTGAGACAACGAAGCAGGAAAAAAGAAAGAAAAGAAAAGAAAAGAAAAGAATAAGAATGAGAATAAGAAAAGAAAAAACAAAATTCATCTCCCTTCATCTCTCCTCAGGGCGTCGGCGAACCTCCCTTACTGCTGGCGACCTTAGCCAACGAGACAACGAAGCAGAAACAAAAGAAAGGAAAGAAAACAATAAAAAATAAGAATAAGAAAAAACAAAATCATCCCCCGTTCATCTCTCCTCAGGGCGTCGGCGGACTCCCCTTGCTGCTGGCGACGTCGGTCTCGTCCAATCAAGCCAAAGTGACAACGAAGCAGAAAAAAAAAGAAATAAATTAAAATAAAACAAAAGAATAAGAATGAGAATAAGAAAAAGGAAAATAAATCATCTCCCTTCATCTCTCCTCAGGGCGTCGACGAACCTCCCTTGCTGCTGGCGACATTAGCCAACGAGACAACGAAGCAGAAACAAAAGAAAGGAAAGAAAAGAATAAGAAAATGAAAAAACAAATCATCTCCCTTCATCCCTCGTCAGGGCGTCGGCGAACCTCCCTTGCTGCTGGCGACGTCGGTCTCGTCCAATCAAGCCAAAGTGACAACGAAGCAGAAAAAAAAGACATAAATTAAAATAAAACAAAAGAATAAGAATGAGTATAAGAAGAAGGAAAATAAATAATCTCCCTTCATCTCTCCTCAGGGCGTCGGCGAACCTCCCTTACTGCTGGCGACGTCGGTCTTCCAAGCCATCAAGGACGCCGTAGGAGCCGCCCGAGAGACCCAGGGGCTCGACCGCGCGTTCCGCCTCGACTCCCCCGCCACGGCAGAGCGCATCCGGGTCGCTTGCCAGGGGCCCTTGCTCAGGAAGGTGAGCTGGGGGGGGAGGGGGAGATGGGACGGAGGGCTGGGATTTAGGTGAGGTGGGGGGGAGGGGGAGATGGGACGGAGGGCTGGGATTTAATGAGGATTTTCATTATTATTATTATTATTATTTATATATTCATTTATTTATTTATATATATATTTTTTAGAAGAGGGGGCTGTGGTTAGCAAAGATATATTTTCATTATTTATCTATATTGTTGTTTTTATAATAATAATAATTATGATAATAATAAAAAAAAATACTACTAACATTAATAATAATAGTGATAGTATTAATGATAATGATAATAAAAAGTTATTTTATTATTATTATTATTATTATTATCATAATTATTACTTGTTAGAAGCTGAACTTTTTTTAAAATCAGAAGTAGGATTTTATTTGGATTTAACAAGTTTTTTTTTGTTTCATTTTATTAATATATAATTTCACATATTTGCTCGTCAGATTCCTCCAGTGGAGCTCGGGTCCAAGAAGCCGTGGTCAGTAACAGTGTAAAAACCTTAGAATTTAGAAGTTTGCTTTACTGTCATTTTTAAGATTGTATTTCTTGGCTAGGCTTTTTTTCTGGATTTTTTTTACGAAGGAGTTTAATTTTCCTTTCTTCTCTTCATTTTTTCTTTTTCTTTCTTTCTTTCCCTTTTTCTTTTGTGTGTGTGTGTGTTTTCTGTTTGTGTATTATTTACATTTCTGTTGACACGTTGTTTAAAAAAACAAAGACATATGTTTTGTGTTCCTTTTTTTAAACAAGGATAGATGTTGTTTTAAAAGTTGCTTCTGTATGCATTTGTTTTCTTTAGAATATTTTTTGGTGACCTGATTTGCCTACCTATTAATATAAGTTTTTTTTTTTTAACTATCTTTAATACCTTCATAGTCATAGAACAATAAAAAAAAAATGCATATTATTGTATGCTTGATAATTAAAAATTGTTTTCTGAAATAACTCATTTTAAAATTGAGGTACAATTTAAGCTGTACAATTTTATTTCACGGTTTAAACTTAGATTTAGTCTTGGTATGAAAGCAAAACATTTTTTTTTTCCCCATTTTTTCTCCGATTTTACCTTTACCTCCTTGAGTTGATGTCATCAGTAATTGTATTTGTCTGATATGCTTTCTA